CACACAACGCATAGAGAGCAGAAGTGGCTGCACATCGCAAATACACGCAGTATATAAACATGAAGATACCCAGGGCGGCGAGTCATAGTTGGACCAGTAGCATGTAGGGCGACTTGTCCCTTACGAGAAAAAAAATCAAGAATGACGATAAGTTTATTTGTTCGGTCGTATAAGACAACCATTTGAATATAAGATTGTTTATAAGGATTTACCCACGTCTTTTGGGGGAGCCAACCGCTGATGATGGTAATTACGCATAAATACGGTTGTAAAAAAGAAGAAGTACTTCTAAGAGTGGGCCCCGATTTCTGGACCGGGGCCTCATTTTGTTATTTGATATGTAGAGAGAACACGCCTCCGAGCTTAAAAAAATGCATAATCAGTAATTTGCCGGGTTTTAGCCCACAGGCCGTTTCAGAGCCTAAGAATCCGGCTACAAACTCGCTACCAACCGGCCTTATGGCCTTGTCTATCCTAAAATTTGATCCCCTAACTATCATACACAACTAGTGCACAAAAACATAACATACACACAAATATGGCCTTGTTTTGTGCAATCGGAGGTTGTCGGAGGTCGGAGATTTTATGTTATGGTATGCACTCCCAAATAAGTTCTTGATAAACATAGGGTTTGGTCGGTGTAAAAAGGATTACTATTTGTACCGTCAAAAGTGGGAGGTAAATGGAGTGACGCATATAGTACTTATTTGCGTCTATGTGGATGATATTACTATCGCTTCTAGTAGCATGACATTGATGCAAAAGGTGAAGGGCCAATTGGCTTCAAGATTTACTATGAAGAACCTAGGAGATATCCACTATCTTCTGAATAGGGATCGGGCAAATATGATTCTAAGTATGTCCTAGCACAGGTACATTATGGACTTGCTATAAAATTTGATATGACTGAGTGTAACTCAGAATTCACACCACAGGCAAAGAATATAGTACTCGAGAAAGAAGAAAATTTAAGGCCAGCGGAAATCTCGGCACAACCATTCGATTACAGAGGTTTAGTGGAATCACTAATGTATCTTGTGCGTGGTACACGCCCAGATATATCAAATGCTGTCAGAGAATTGAGTAAATTTATGTCGTGCTATAAGAAGAGCCACCCAGAGAGTACTAAAGTATCTGAAAGGAACGTCGACGTACGGACTCGTATTTGACGGAAAACGTAAGGAAGTAATATATGAGTTGTACACAGACGCGAGCTTCGCGAATGCTAACGAAAACCGAAAGTCAGTGACTGGGTATGTGAGTATTATGGCAGATGCGTGTATTACTTGGAAAAGTTCAAGGCAACGTACTGTGAGTCTTCATATAGCGCAGGCTGAGTTAATAGCAGCGAGTGAAGGTATTAAGAAAAGCGAATGGTTATGTGTACTATTAGAGGAATTGGGATTTAAGCAATCACATCCAATAGTGTGTTGGTGTGATAATAAGCGGGCAATTAGTATCATTAAGGAGCCAGCAAATCATACATCGACAAACACATTGATATTAAAGGGCTATATGCTCGAGAGATTCATGATAAGGGAGGAATAGAAGTATCATACTGCAGCAAATGATATGATAGCGGATGCCCTCACAAAGGCATTCAAACTCAATTTGAGAAACTCAGAAGTCTCGTGGGTGTAAGGAACCTAAGCCCCCCACCGAAGGGTTTAATAGCGGTCAGAGGCGCTAAGTCGGACCTTTATTGTTGATTGCAAGTTTGAGAGTGAATGAGTTAAGGAAGTTGGTGCCCACAAAGGCGGAAAAGGTAAAGGTGAAATATAGAGGCAGAAACCATGGGGGAATCGGAAAAGGAAAATTGGTTGGGTCACAAAATTGGAAATTAGGGAATAAGTATGGGTAATGTGACGTCTCAAATTTCAAGTGTCACAAAATTTGGGAGCTGCCAATTTTGGATCACAGATGCGCGAAAAGTCGCGACAACGAAAGGTCATATGCTATTTGGGAAAGGACGCAGCTTGATTGTGTTGGATAAGGCATGCAGATGTGATCGAAGTCAGGATAGGAAGGCGTGTGTTCACTTTTAAGAACCTAAATAAGCCACAGAGAAGTCCAGAAATACGAAAGGTCGTATGGTATTCTGCTGGATAAGTTGTGTAACTGGATTCTGGATAAAGTGGGTTATATGCGACCACAGTGACAACACTTGCCGAGGGATGTTAATGGCGAGGAGGACGCTTGGCGTATGTCCGCTTTGTCCTCCTCACTTAAAAACTGACGGCCTATTAACTAAGAGCTTGATAATACCGCAGTTGGTAACTTCCTGTGGGTAGTACTGAGAAGCCGCGCCGAGCACGACCCAGTCACTAATGGTTGCTGGGCTCTCCCCGGAAACGCGCCCGCTTTCTTAATCTGAATTATCAGATCTAAATCTGACAGGCTCAGACCAAAAATTTACATTTAGGGTGTGCATACAAAAGAAATCAAATTAGTCATGGCGCCAATTGCGGAGCGCGCTAGATGAAAATACACCCGCTTTCCCGCCGAATTGTGAGGAACAAAGAAATATGTTTTACTTAGTTTTTGTTTTGAATCCGAAAAACAATGCCCGCTTTACAAAACTCTACACACATAGAGTCCTCAGTCACTTTGCAATCTTCCAGCTAGCCCTCGCCAAGACTAAGACCCCCACCATCAGCAGCAACACGAATGGCCACCCCCAGCCCGTTCCAGTACCACGTCGACGACGCGAGCCTCTTCTCATTCGACAAGGTGATGGAGGTTACCTGCGATGAGGCTCGCTGCGTGGACTGGTGCATGAAAGTGGGGCTCATCGACAAGGAGAAGACATGCCCAGCATGCTCCTTGCCGATGAGGCTCTCGCTTGTGCGCAAGCCGTGGCGGTGTTGCCACCGAAAACAGCATGCTGAAGGAAAAGAGATTTCCCTGGGAATGCTGACCAGCTCCTTTTTCACCGACGCCAAGATTAAGATCTGCAGTGCTGTTCGTTTGCTGGCGGCATGGTGCATGCGGCTTCCACAGGCCAACGCAGCCGGTTAGTGAAGATTCCGTCCAGTACTGGTACACGTGCTGCCGCTCTACCTGCTCAAAGGAGCTGCTCAAGTCCGAGTTTAAGGTAATGTTGCTCTATTGTTGCTCTTATGTTGCGCTTATGTCGCCCTAATGTTACTGAAACGAGTTATTTATGGTATATAGATAGGTGGTGCGATCCTGGTTTTTCCCTGCTAATCCTACCTCGGGTCAATTCATGGCAGGTTTGGTAGTTGCAATTTGAAGAAATCAATAAATTTGTTTGTTCATATCTGAATTTCTAGTTTAGAACACGGTTTCTAAAAAGCGGGCGCGTTTCCGGGGAGAGCCGGTTGCTGCTCTGAGTAATACCATATATGCGTTGTTGCCGCAAAAGTGTCGTCGTTAGGATCCCGTCAAAGCTTAATGATTTAGAGAGACTACCGGGTGTAGCTCCCAATTCCACAAGATGGATTCAATGATTGCAAAAAAAATTGCAATTTTGCTACGTTCTAGACTCGTATCGTGCCATCGCAGAACAGAAACTACAATGTTTTTTATTACGTACAATAAATTTAGCGGGCGAATCGCTGTTGCTCGTCGAAACGTACCTAGTGCGGCCCACTCGCTCCGGTTTGAGTTAAACAACACTGTACATTTACAAACTGACGTGGGGTTGGGATAATCCTTAGCCCAACACGAATTCCTAGTGTAATATTTCATTAATGGAATGGTGCAATATTAAAAAAAAAAAAAAGAATCCGTCAATTTTCAACGTTTAATTCAGATTTTCGCAATACGTAATCGTAATCATAACTCTTGCGCAAAAAAGCATAGACAACTTCAGAAATTCGTCTGACGTCACTCTGCCATTTGCAGTCCAAGAAGAGAAGAAAGGCTCTATCATTATGACCAACGTCGACCCCGCGCTGCTGAAGCCGAAAGTGCACGGTGCCATCTTCGACATGGACGGCACGCTATTGGACACGGAGGAGCTGAGCCGCCTCGCCATCGACGGCGTTGTGCGTCAGTTCGGCAAAGAGTTCACCATGGCCATGCACAAAACCATTCTCGGTCGTCCTGCTGTCGAGTGGACAAGCATGGCCATTGCTGCTGCTGGTCTCAGCGAAGAGGCCATCACTCCGGAAGAATTATTCAAGCAATGGGAAAAGAGCATGCGTGACATGTCGGACCGTGTCGAAGAACTCCCGGGCGGCCTCGAAGTGCTGACCGCTCTGCACGAACGGGGCATTCCCATCGCGCTGGCCACTTCCAACAGCAGGAGCGTCGTGGAAGCCAAGATCAAGCACCATCCGAAGCTTTTCTCCTTCTTCTCCACGATCGTGTGTGGTGACGACCCGGCCGTTAAGCGCGGGAAGCCTGCGCCCGATATTTTCCGCACGGCTGGTCAACGTCTCTTTGGTCTCAAGGAGGGAGAGGACGGCGAGAAGCCGCCGCACTGCATCGTGTTTGAGGACTCTGTGAACGGCTACACTGCTGCCAATGCTGCGGATATGCATAGTATTGCCATCCCAGACGTGCGCATCCACTGGGACGAAGCACAGAGGTCGGAGCTCTTTGGTGATGCCGACGAGGTGATCACGTCGCTCACTCAGTTCCAGATCGACAACTACGACTGGCAGCTATAGCGAAGCCAGTCTAGTCCTACATTTTAGGGTAGATTAGTTTGACGGCCACGTGCTCTCATCAATATGAGTATTTTGGCTATTCATTCAGCATAAAAATAGTGGCCTATTCGCTAGCTTTATCACTGGAAGACCTGGTTACTAATGTCGATAGGAACGAGGGGTACGAGAGTGAATGCAAAGCTGCACAGTGAAGAGCTCAAGGACGCGTATCGAGTGTGGCTCAAAGATCTGTACGATGATAAACCCGAGAGGCTGCTGAAAAAGCTTGATAAAAAGAAGAAACGCAGTGGCGGACGCCGCGCACGACGACATCAACTCATGCAACATGCTCAGCAACATACCGCAGCCAGTGCTCTTAAAGATGTCGCTCTAAAGGAGGTAAGAAGTAAATAGTGCCGTGCTCTTATAAATGGCTCAAGGTTTATCAAAATGCTGAGCAGGTGAAACTTCCGTCATTAGTGCACACGCCAGCGGATAAACAAGCACTGCAAGAATCGCAGAATCGACGACATCAAGCACTCGTGGATGAAGCAAATTATTCTGCTATCCAGTACTCAAACCAGCCATCGTGGCGACCTGGACTTGCGTTCTTTCAGCAGCTAGTGCGCCAACTACTCCAGAAAACCTCCGCAGAATCGCAAAGCGGGGATTGTTCCAATGGTGTTATTACGGTAGAGTTGGCTGGGTTTCCTGTTCTAGTTGCGCCAATTCTCCTTCGAGTTCCGATTCGTCGTCAAGGTAGTGAAGATTGTTTTGGTGTCGCGTTATTATTTTGTCAGGAACACAACCAAGATCAACAAGCAGTAAGATCAAGCGGGGAGATCCCGTCGTTTGTTTTAAAGTGCCGTGTGTATGTGAGATCATGTAGTTGGCAAGAACACCGCGATACACTGGTGGATATCGTATCGAGTTCGTCATCTGGAATTTGTGCAGTGAGAAAGTGCGCTGAAAACTTCGAGTCTCGAAACAACGAGTTACAGCTTTTACGTACCCGCCAAGAGGTTGAAAAGGCAACAGATGAGCTTTGGATAAACTCCAGTGATACCGGCTCCGGCACCGATTTGCATGCCATTCAGAGGTATATTCCGTTCAAGGGAGCATCGATTCGTTTCAACGCTTTCACAACTTCAGATATGATTACTTCAGCTGAACGAAAAGCTTGGATAGCACGTTGTGCTTCGCGTAATAGGGATAAAAACTCATCAACTGTTTGGATCATTTCTGGTGGAGGCGTTTGTGGCAGACTTACAGCAACACGCCGTGAAGAATGCCAGCTAGTTAAATGTACCGTCGATCAAGCCTGGTCGGAACCTCGGCTATTAACTTCGATGTGTGCAATGTTATTAGAGAAGGCTCTACGGATTCGATTCAATGAACTGGTGCTAGATCTACTTCAAGACACTTCTGGGACTTGGTGGTTGCTACAAGTAAAGGCTTTTACGCTTGCTTCCACTCGTCCTGCGTCTGCAGCAACAACATCGTCACTGTCCACTAAGACTTTACCAGGTCTGTCACGAACTCAATCAGCACCGACTCGATTTGAAGTTGGGGTCACTCCAACTCCCAAGTGGAGGAAGTGGCGTTGTGCTGGGCGATATTGTGCCTGCAAAAGCTCGTCAAAGACAGAAAACCAGCAAGTTAATGGCATTGATGGACCAGACGATAGTAACGAACCGAGTGGTTATCTCACGAAGAAAATGTTACGAAGTTGTGAGTTTTACGATGATTTTATTCAACAACAGGATATGAGTCTTGCAGGCGGCTTTACAGAGTTTCATTCAGCATTGACGTTCCATTTGCAGCACCGTCTACCGAAGCGTGATCGCAGTCAGCTCTATGAACCCCAACCACTTTGTGGTGCATGCGTTAAACAGTATCATTCACTACGACAGCAGTGGATGGAAACGGTGGAAGCTCCGAAAACGATGGCTACACGTGCAGGTCTTCATAGGAAAAATACTCAGACCAAGGATTATAGCGAACAAACTTTGCTGCCTCCTCACAAGCTCCCGTCTCTTCAACGAACGCCTGCAGCTTTATCGGCGTTGAATTCTTCGTATTCTAGTCCAGCACGAGCACTCAGTGATACTTCGAAGTTAACCAAGCACGAAGGCACCACGAAACAATCAAATTACCTGACTGAGCTTGCTGCGATGGAAAAAATGCTAGCTGAACACGAGCCGCCTTTGCTGATGAACGAAAAGAAACGTGAAGCTCAACATGCACAGGGTCAAGTTGCTTCGGTAAGCTCATCAACGACTAACGTACTGTCGACTAAATCGTCAGACCACGACGGCATTTTCCCCACGTGGGATGGTGTCACTCGAATCGAAGAAATGTGGCAAAACTTGACTTTCAAACCCCTCGAAACACAACTAACCGAAGTTGGGGCAAAAGGCGTTGGCATGAAACAAGGTTACAATTCCATTTCCCTGCAACAAGAGCTTGCGAAGGTTGTCAAAGTGAGTGACTCTACTGATGGAGACACTGAAAGGGCTAACAAGATACACGAAGAAGTTCACCCATCCTACAGAAATGCCCCCACGAAGGCTGTCGCTGCCTATATAGTCCAGGTTCAACACTGCCGTCGGGTATTCGAGGACGAATCCTATCGTGAAGATCTTGTGAACAATACAATGAGTGCGCTTCGCTCGGGCAATTCGAATATCTGCTTGGTAGTCACCCCACACTCGCAAGATCCCCGCGATAAGAAACACGTCAACGAGGCAGAGGATGAACTAGCCGAAATGGCGTTGCGTTCGCTCTACATCGACGTCAAACAAGCGATTGCAGCTTCGTCCGATGGTCTGAGCTCTGACTTGCTGCTTTCGTCGTGGCCAATGCGACCAAAAGTCTGCCGTGAAATAAGCGGATGTATCACAGTAAAGCTGGGTCCAGCATAGACAAAGCACATGTATGAAAATAGAGAAAGCATTGATCGAATTACACTTTGTCGAGTCCCTCTAGTGTTCTTCCGTGTAGTAGTCAGGATACTTTGAAACGTGCTCCAACATCTCGCGCTCTTGTTCCTGTAAAACCACAGCCAGTACCAATGAGTTTCATTGCAAACCAACAACATAGCACCAATGCAGTAAACGTACAAGCAAGTGCGGCAACTTGACGTCGTATACATCCTCAAACATCGTCTCCAGTACGGGCCGTCCCTTAGTCTCAGCCTGCTGTAGAGCTGCAAGTACGTTTGTCCGCTCATTGTCCTGCATGAGGCGGTCCTGCTCCTCCGTGATCCAGCCACGTTTCTACAAAACATCAAAGCAAACGTTAGAAACGACATCCAGACAGCTCAATCATCATCCTGCTGCTTACCAGCAGATATCGCTTAGTTCGCTCAATTGGATCGCAGGTTTCTTTCCAGTGCTTGATCTCAGCAACAGCTCGGTACTGTGTGGAGTCATCCGAGGTCGAGTGGTGACCCTGGCGGTAGGACATTGCCTCGATAAGCACGGGGCGGTTCTCCTTCAGAATATACTCGCGAGCACGGCGAGTGGCTTCGTGTACAGCCAAGAAATCGTTGCCATCAACGCGCATGATGGGAATGCCGTATCCGCTGCCACGGGAAGCAATACCATCGCCACGGAACTGCTCCTTTGTAGGTGTACTAATGGCGAATCCATTGTTTCGGACGAAGAAGAGGATGGGACAGTCCTTCGTGGACGCAAAGTTCAACGCAGCGTGGAAATCTCCCTCACTGGCTGCTCCCTCACCGAAGTAACAGACCGAAATACGGTCCTCCTTTGCCAACTTAAACGCATACGCAGCACCTGCAGCCTGCAAACATGCAATACTACGCGTCAGTAACACGTTCACTTGCTATTACAACTGTATACTATACCTGAGGTAGTTGTGTGGCCAGCGGGGACGAAATGGTCTGGTGGTTGAGGTTCTTGGATCCGTAGTGGACTGGCATCTGGCGGCCCTTGCCGTGTCCGTCCTTGTTGCTGAAGCACTGATCGGCAAATTCTTGCAGTGTAAATCCACGCCACATAAGGACTCCTGGTTCACGGTATTGTGCGAATACCATGTCTCCAAGACGAAGCGCCGACGAACTGCCAAACGAGATGGCTTCTTCGCCGTACGACGTCATGTAGAACGAGATGCGGCCCTGCCGTTGCGCGTCGTAGAAAATATTGTCCATGGTCTGTAAAAATGAAGAGTTAACGCTAGAAAAGAATCCGCAAAGTAACTACTACTGCAACGTACATTCAGTCGGATCATTTGGCTGTAGATCTGCGTGCACAGGTCCTGGCTGAGCTGCGGGTCCGTGGCGCCCTCCACGACGTCTCCGTTCTCGTTAAGAACTGCAGTAAAATGACCAAATTCATTAGCGATTGCCTCTAAAAGTTTAGGGAGTGAGTAAAGTGTTGCCATACTGCGGAAACACGGAATGGGGTCGTTCTCCTTCGGGTCGCGGAACACCACCTCGGGTACGAAAGGCATTTCAGTGCCTGGAAAGCAACCGAGCGTCGATGCCGACGAGAGGCGACGCACGTGGCACCTGGTGCTGATGGTAACGCGGCGAGCGAGCGATGCGGCCGAGAACATGGCGATGAAGATGGAGCTCTGCGGCTAAATCGATTCTGGTGTTGAACTTGTGTTCCAGCAGGTCGAAGCAGCGAGAAAAGCTTTTGCATCTAATCATATGCTGCATCACAACGACCACCTATATTCCATGAAACCCTTGGCATACGGATGGCATAGGCGTTCTAAACGTTAAAATAGTGAAAAATGGAACCTGTGTAATATTGTGCCGTCCTTTTATCCGGACGTGCATGTGACGGGCGTGATGGCTTTGACCAACGAATGCAATTTCCGAGAGCATGCGATTGACTCGTAGATGAAGGCGATATCTACCAATGCCGCGAAACTAATACAAATAAAACTACAGTACGCTACGTTTACTGCAACCAGGGTTGGATAGAGTGACTAAGTACGTTCCTGACAGGCGTCCTAACTGAAGTTCTTCAAGAACTGGAGAGCGTTGTAGTGTGTGAACTACCGCATCAAGGCTAACGCAGCAGCAAGGACTATAAGGATAGCTTGTCAAATAAGCGGATACGATGTAGCGTACATTGCTACAATTCGCACCACCGATGACAATTCTCTTGACAACGTCATTGCACCGCTGACAATTCTCACACGTCGCATATTTTCTTTTCTTCCAATCATTTCTCCACTTAAGTTTAGTTTCCACCAATTGTCTGCTTCGAAGGGTTGATTGGCCACTGGGACCAAAGCTGTTTGCTCTGCTGGCTATTCGAAGTTGCGTCGCCTTCGGACGTCACCCAAAGCACCTTAGACCCAAACTACACGATGGCCAAGAGTCTGCGCTCCAAGATCAAGCGAAAGTTCCGTACGGAGCTGCGCAAGCGCATCGGCGTGCCGCACCAGGCGATTCAGGAGGCCAAGATCCAGGAAAACCTCAAGAAAGCCATTGCAGCTCAGGGTAGGAGCTCTTAAACGACTTCCCAGTTTTTTTTTCTTCTACATCCTCTAACAATATTTTATTAAATTCAGGCACTGGCAAGTCGGTGGCAAGTCTCAAGAAGCTCATGGGCGCCTCAGTGCCCGTAGCAAGCAGCGAGATCACTGGAGTGGTGAAGGAACAGACCCCGGCGGAGGCTGAGGCCGCTCTACTGAACCAGGAGGCCGACGCTACCATGGAGGACGTCAAGAAGGCTAAGAAGGACAAGAAGAAGACCAAGAAGCGGAAATCCAAGTTTGTGCACTTCCACCAGCTGCGCAAGAAGGGCGTGTAAGCTCGACGAAAGCCTGGAAATGACGCGCGACCAAAGGGCGATCGATTTGCATCAGGGACGAGAAGTGGGTGCTATCGGGCGCTGTTACTCTGTAATCTGCTATTATCCAGTTTATTTTATGACTGTTATCGTGTGCTAGTCGTCCCAGTCAGAAGCCTCTGTCGCTGGCTGAAACGCGACTTGTTTGTCGTATTGAAAGCCTTCTTGGTCTGGGCGGATAATGTTTTGCTCGAAGACCAGGTCCATCTTCTGCTTCACCTGCTTGAGCTGCATCTCAGACACGCGGTTGTAGTCTGCCTGTGGTAGAATGGGTGCCGACGTAGCTTCTTGAGCTGTGGTTTGATGATCAACAAGCCTCCGAACCAGGCGAACAAGCTGCGCTTGAGTCAATGCGTTAGTGAGTTTGACAATGGCAACTACGTGTCAGGGTATTGCCCACCTGTGCTGACGAAACTTTGCTGTCCCCGACAACGTCGCCGTGCTGTCTAATGATATTGTTGACAACCTCGTCAATGCGATATTCCTTGCAGCGAGGAGTAGTAGAATTGTCAACGTTGCAATGTGTAAGAGGTCTATCGAGAACTTAAAAGTCTCACTTACGCTAAACCTGCTTGCTCCAACCGACGCCAGTTCCGTCTTCAAGTCAATTTCGTGGTGATAAAGCTGCTTGGCGGCAGTGCTGTGGTAGATATACTCGACAATGATGCCTGGGGGCTCGTATCGTAATGCTAGTCGCCGGGGTTCGATGCCGCGTACTGCTCCCATCGTTGTGATCACGATGAGCCCCTTACTTCACTATATTTAGAGGATAAGGATATCCAAACCGGAATCATGATTCCTATACTCGACTACATCATGTAGTCGCTTGGATTGGAATCCCGGCAAGTACATGTACACGTAGTCGTCGAGTATCGTTCTTGTACGATATGTGAATGCACAGTGAGTGCACTCGAGCGCTACAGTAATGGCAGACCATTACCCCTCTTAGCTCAACATAGAAGTAATTTGTCGCCATTCCTTAGCCGCCTAACAATCAGCGTAGTTTGATTTACTTGGGTTCAACGGGTACCATGACTCGCTTGCTACCACAGCAGGAAGATCTTGCGGCAGCTCCATTTTTCCACTCAACGTTCTCCTTCCACGTCCTCGTGTCTCCTTCGTATTGCTCGCTTTTCCATATAGGGACAGTGGCTTTGAGCGTGTCAATGGCAAACGCACAAGCTTCCAGCGCCTCCCGCCGATGTGGTGAGCTGACAGCCACAACCACACTTGCTTCCGCCACTTCGACCACTCCCAGACGATGAAACAACGCCACCCCGACCACATCTGGCCACTTTTCGCGAACAATGACACAGATCTTGCGCAGCTCGGATACTGCCATCGGCGTGTATCCCTCGTACTCCAGCCGCACCACCTTCTTACCTACAGCATTAATCATGTTGTACTCCATCAGAGCCTTCAACAACTATCTACAAAACAATGCAACGCTCGCAGACCTCGGAAATTATCTCGCGTGGTGCCTACAAACGTCGAAATGGCGCCTGCGCTAGGATGTGTCACAAGTGCCACCGCTCTCTGGTTGTCCAGTGACTCATAGCCAACCTCCACGAAGTCACCGCGTCCAGGCTCCGTACTAAAGTGCGACGCTACTGTCCTCGTGCCAGCCATACCTCCCACAAGCAACAGGGGGGGGAATTCACCGTCGTCATTGTAGCCAATTCCCTGATAACACTTTCCCTCAGCTTCCTGATTCGCTAAAATCAATCCACTTTTTCACCCAATCAATTACTCATAATAAAGCTCGCAGACAAACCATGACGGCGGAGCTGTGGCTGTACCTGGACGCCGTCACGGGGCAGCAGAAGGGCCCTGTAAGCGCTCCAATCATCAAGAAGCTACTACGCAAGGGCGTCATTCAGCCCCAGCAGCTAGTGTGGACTCAGCGTCTCTCAGAATGGACAGCAATCGCCAGTGTGGAGCCATTTGAGTCCTATTTGCGCGTCTGGACGGCCGTATGGTACTATATGGCCGAGGATCCGACGAATCCCAGCAAAGAATCAGTGCGGACAGGCCCCAACACGACTCAGCAACTTGTGCAGCTGTTTGTGGATGGAGAAGTGGACGGTATGACGCTCGTCTGGAGTCAACAACTCGACGGCTGGAAACCCATCGGTAGGTATTGCAATTGATGAAGCAATTTATGAGTGTATAGTAATTTCTATTGTATTCTGACGATGCACAGGTGAAGTACCTTCGTTAAAAGAGTTTCTACAAGAAGCTAATGAAGATCTTGATCGAGAAGCGGAGCTTAAAGAACAAGCCAGCAATGTGCCGATCGAGCAACAAGTGTTTGAGAAAGAGTAGGACTATTTTGTACCTTTTCGATAAAACAACGGTATTAACTTACGTTTTTTGTGGCGCAACTAGGTCGACGGACGCTCTTGTTGCTGAAGACGGCAAGCGATATGTGTTTGATGCTGAATCCAAGACATACGTGACGCCTGAGGATAAAATTGAGGAGGAACTGGCATCGCTGCAAGAAGCGATGCGGGAAGCCAACGCGGAGAAACAAGGAGGAAATAATAACGAGAACAAGAGCGAGAATCCAAGGAGCACTGACAACCAGAAAGTGTCAATTGGAGAAGAAGCGGCTGGGAAGGCAAAACCTGCTGATCAATCAGAAGCAGACGCCGAAGCTGCTAAAAAGCGGAAAAAGAAGAAAAAGAAGAAGAACGACAAGTGGAAGAAGAGCAAAAAGAACACGTGGGTGTACGTGAACGGCTTGCCGCTGGATGTCACAGTGCAAGAAGTACATGATCATTTCGCCAAGTGTGGTGTGATCCAACCGGATATTGCAACTGGCAAGCCCCGCATTAAGCTCTACCAAAACAAAGAGAGTGACGGTCTAAACGTACGTTCTCTTGGGCTTAAATAATCCCACGCGTTGGTTGAGTCTAATTCGTTCATGGGTTTTCTGACTGCAGGGTGATGGATCAGTGTGTTATATGAAGGAGGCGTCAGTGGAGCTGGCCGTGCAGCTACTCGATAAATCACAGATCCGGCCAGAGTACGTGTGCTTGACAGCATCTAGATGACCTATACCTTGTCAGCTAACGTTATAACTGCACTATCTTGATAGCTGGCCCATCGATGTCTCTCCGGCAGTGTTTCAACAAAAAGAAGGAGACTTTGTTAAGCGGAAAAAGCTCAAGATCGACTCACGCGCAAGAATCAAAATGTTTGAGAAAGAAAAGGTAACAATTTTTTGCTGTTTTTAACCTTTGGGTATGTAATCTAACCATATGTGGAAATTTAGGCGCTTTCCTGGAATGAAGGAGAAGTGAATGAGCCTGCTGGTCTGCGTATTGTGGTGATCAAGCATATGTTTACGCCTGCTGAAATTGAAGGTGCATTTGTTTGAGATTTTGTTCAATTAATGCTCGGAAATCTAAATTATATTGTGCATTTTCAGATGAAGCATACGAGACAGAGCTGCAGGAGGACATCCACGGCGAATGCTCTAAGATTGGCGAGGTTACAAAGATCACACTCTTCGCCAAGCACGTGGACGGCGTAGTGGTGATCAAGTTCGCTTCGAGTGGCAGTGCTGCGCGGTGCGTTGAGATTATGAACGGTCGATTCTTTGCCGGGCGTAAGCTGGAATGTGGATTCTGGGACGGCACAGACTACACGCATCACGAAAGTAAGAACGAGGAGAAGGAGCGTGCAGAGAAATTCCAAGAGTGGTTAGAAGAGGGCTCGTCCTCCGAGAGTGAGGCTGAACACGAGGAAAAGACGGAACAGCCCAAGATCCTCGATGCAGGAGAAGCGCATACGGGCCGTGAAATGCCTGCTCTTGCAGATGACAGTGACGATAGTGATGTTGAAAGCAATGGGGATGCAGAGGAAGTCAACAATCCTGCTGGGGCCGATGAGCTACATGCAGGGCGAGTCATGCCCAATCTCGACGACTTAAACGATGATGAATAATACCCATGGATGTGGTAAAACTCGTCGAAATGTGTTGTTTCAACGGATCTACGGCCGTTAAAAATCTCACTCTCAAATTCTTGAAATGTGCAGCCTATCGTCATCGCCGACTATTTTCAACATTCAAAGCAGGTCAGTTTCCAGGCAAGTTTGGAAGTCATTGTATACATTTGTTGAGCATATTGTCGATACTCATGCGGACTAAGCAATGTACCCTTGCCACTGGGAGGTGCTGTATGACATGCTTTTCTTGGCATGTTGTGTGTGTTAGCTTGTTCTTTCTTTAGCTGATAGGGTGTAGCTCCTCTCGTACAAGCAGCAAGGTATGCTAGCTATCTTTATGTCGTTTGCACTCTTCTCGTTGCTGCTAATAGCCTTCGTGATCAGCGTTTTTGTAGCTTGTATGGCTGAGAATTTTAGACAAGGTGGCTTCAACCAGAACTCTATAATTGTTGTTGCTGCCTGCTGCACTCAGCAGGTCCAGCCATCTCCTTCCTCCTCCGTCGGAAGGCCCCAGACACTTGAAGCTTTTATTCAAGCAACCTCTAAACATGCCGGATACCTGGAGTGTGACGGAGGAGATGTGGAAACGGAAAGCCAAAGGCCTGGAAGATCAGTACCAACGACTGCTGTCCGATCACCAAGACTTGCGTCTCGAGAAGGCCAAGATGATGGGCGAGCTACGAGTGTTACAGCGCTTCAAAGAGACTGCCGAGGACACCATAAGTCGCGAGACTGCGACCAGAAAGTCAGTGAACACTACGCAGTCTTGTTTCAAGTAACAGGGGAATTAACGGTGTTTTGCTGACAGGGCTGAACATAAGGATAAAGTGTCCGCCACGACGAAATTGGAGCAGTATATTAAGAAATACGAGCGTGAATGCGAACGAGTGTTCGCACTTGAGCGTGAGAATTCCTTCTTGATGGAACAGGTCTCGGACATTAAAGGGGAGACCGAGAAGCGCCTGGACTTGCTAAAGGAGTTGGAGGACTCACAAAAGCGCAGTGCTCGTCTGAAAGAAAAACTTCGAGAGTACGAAAAACACAAGCTAGCAGTGTCTAGTTTGTGCTCTGACTTGAGTGTTTTTTGAATTGGTAACTGGAATAATAGGATGGAAGTCGTGGGTATCGAGCATGAAAACACAATTCTGGAACTGAAGGAGAAGAACCAAAAACTCAAGCGCAAATTGGCAGCTGCAGAGGAAGACGCAAGTGACAAAGCTGAGGAGGCCAAAAATCTTGCTATTCGACTAGCGGTTCGTACACTCTGCACCCATACTGATTATGCTTATCAACTCACTGTCGGTATTACTTTCCAGGCTGTGGAATCTGCGTGGGAAGCTGCTCGCGGACAGAACAAAACTGCACTCCATGAGCTAAAAAAGAGGTGCGTCCTGATAGTTTTTTTTTAGTTCATTTGATCTACCCTCACTGTATTCACTTACTGTTATGTCTGAAACCACAGGGAATCGCTTTCGAAAGAGCTTGAAAATGTCAAGTCCGAGACCAAGGTTGTCAATCATTTTATAAGCCTCCGTTGACCTCTCTAATACGGAGACCCACTCAACATTTGTTTTTAATGAACAGCAAGCGAGCTACCGCATTCATGCGCTCGACGTCGAGGTTGAGACGGCTCAAAGCAAGCTACGACACAAGGATCGTACAATCGATGAACTTCGCGAGAAGAACGCAAGTCTCAAGAAAGAGATCACTCGTCTAAATGTTCGAATGGAGGATCTGTCAGCAAGTTTGGTGGCAGCGCGCGAGGTCATTGAAGAGAAGGAAGCCGAGATTGAGCGCAAGACTGTGCAGCTCCGCAGTAAGAAGACGGAAGTCAAGACGCTCGAGCGCATTGATGACTCGTCAAAAGACCGGATTGAAGACCTCGTGTGTCAGGTGAGTGAGCTACAGCAACAACTACTAGATACTCAGAAAGAGTATCTTCGCAAGGTCAAGAAGGAAGAGCTTACGCGCGAGAAACAACGAGCACGTGATCGTGCCGAAATCACCAAGGAACTCGAGACGATGTACAAGCCTCGTCGGTGCAGGAACTGCAACGAGACGTTCACCAACAAGTCCAACACGTCGCTCTCGTGCTCGTTCCACCCTGGTCGCTTCGTAGCTCGCAAGTATCCACTCGAAGGCTATCAGTGGAGCTGCTGCCAGAAGCGTGAGTTATCATCGAGACCGTGCAAATTTGCAGGGCGCCACATCGAGTCCAAGTTGTTGGACTAGTCGGGAGGAGACCAATATGCGATGCAGACGCAGAGATGAGCAATAAATAAAGAATATACTTATCTCGAGACCCGTTAGAGCATTGCTGTTTGCGTCTGTTCACAAGGATTTATCAGCAGAATTTTCAAGACAATCGTTATCTCGGATAAATGCGTGTCAACGTCAAGGTGCATGGTTTGCAGTTTGTGATTCCCTGTGGTGAAGGAGGTCAAACCTGTCGCTGGCTCGGGTTGGCGGTAGCTCAGCGATATGCTTTAGCTGCACCGCACGGTCGTTGCCGTACTCGCGAGGACGCCCATATTAAGCAAGGGTTTTTCCTTCCTGCTGGAATCGTAAAAACGAATGGCCAAGTGTTGCGTCCTGAAAAGAGGATAGTCGACGTTTGTAAGGATAACGAAACCTTGACCGTACAACTGCAGGTATGAAGCATTATTTTAAGTGTTACACTTCTCTACTTATTTTTTATGACTTTTTTTCAGCAAGAAGTGCCTGTGAACGAAATTGGCACACCTCAATTCACAGCTTGGACGACGAATGCCTTCTTTTCTTCGCAGAACCGTGTTGACATTCCGGATCCTGCGGATACTAGAGCTGACGCTAAGACTCCGAGTACGTTGGTGAAGCAACTAACATCGAGCGAACAAGTCGGTGACTCCGAGGCCAAAGGAGACGGAACTTCATCTGCTGCAGAAGAAATGAAAGCGTACGCCCGTGCTGAGATGCTGCAACAAGTGAATTCAGGACAATTCTTGTCCGACATGGAGGTGGAGGCTGCATTCCTGTACGACTGGAGTCACATACACCCCGAGGAAATTGAAAAGGACCCACACGAACGTGAACACCTTCAGGAATTGCTGCTGTCTTGTTTCTCGGAACTCAATGCGGGGTATATGCACTACGCTACTGGTAGCAGTGAGCTCAGTTACGGTATGAACGGGGCAGAGTTCGCGCATTTCCTTCATGAATGCGAACTGGCACGACTGCATGATGGTAAAGCCCAAGAAATCGTGGACAAGGTGGTCACCCAGTGTTTGCGTCACGACACACTCGTAGCCATGCATGATCGAGGCACTTTGTCCCGAGTCGGCTATATTCACGCATTGCTAAGGGTAGTGCAAGCTGTGTCGTCCACGAAAGATCCTTTTAGTGAACATTTGGACGGTATCCTCAAGACCAAAATTCTTCCCACTATCACTCGACTCACCAGTGGACCCTTTCGAGATCACTCCCACCACGATGTACGTAGCGTTCCCTTACCATGTTTGCCACGTACCTTGATGTTTGAAGGTGTTTGCTGTAATGTTATTAGAAAATGGTGGCGATTTTCCAAGAAGCCAAACCGAAGCTCCTCAAGTTGTACGCGAAGTATGCGCAAGAACATGCTCCGAAGCCGTCTCTTCGGAATAAAAGCGACAGCCCGGAGGGAGAAGACGCTTCGGTTGTCACGCCTCAGCCAATTTCGTCTACGTGGCCCCTACTGCTCTCAGCGGTAGGTTTAAGAAGCATGTTGTACGACTGCGGCATGTTCTGCTCCGGCACAACTGAGCAACAGGAAGCGCTATTCAATCGTGCTGTGGAGCAAAGTTTCTCGGGAATGCGTGAGCTGGAGCGTATTGAAGATCGGATGATTGTCTTCAGTGAGTTCCTCGAGATCACCGCTCGTGTTGCATTAGCCGTACTCGAAAGCGAAAACGAGCTGCCACCTCGAGATGCCATCAAACTCGCGCTCGAAGCTTTGCGGAGCCTGCCCCTCAAGTCTGAACCTTCCAAAGCGAGGAAGTAGACAGGATATCTTTCAACTGGATACCTTGCGAACAGCGTGTTCAATGACTCATCAGAGCTTACACGTCCTGTTTGCTTCAGTAATGGCCGCGAATAAGATTGTATATCACTTCAACTTAAGCTTTTAGGTACATGCCAAGCAACAACAAACTCGAACAAATAACAATTGAAACAACTAAATACTTTCCTTTCTGCTTGACTGACCTACGAAAATGAAGCCCTTCCGTCAGGCCTAGACTTCGCAGTCATATTACCCTACGACTGACGTCACAGTCACTTTTGTACAAAATTCACTTAAAAGCACGTCCTTACTTGAGCGAAAAGTTCAAGCACTCGTACCAGCACCTCGAGTCGGCCAGCGAGTCACAGTTCACCTTGAGCTTGGTTCCGTTGGAGAGGGTGAACACAATGCCGCATTCCAGGTCACGCGTTGAGCCCACGTCCACGACAGTGCCCAGACGCTCGAGCTGGTTGTCCACATCGTTGGCAACACCCAAAGTCGCGCCGTCCATCACGTAGAACCGACGCAAGCGAGAGCCCTTCCGCACTTCCGTGAGCCAGCCACCAAACACAGGCCTCAATTTCTTGCGACGTCTACTGTTCAAATATTTCTTCAAGTTGAAAGTTTCCGCGTGCCGGCACGCGCTGCTGATAACGGAGCGCCATCGCTTGGCTGTCTCGTATGACTCGGCGTGAACTTTCCAGACGCGTCCGCTTATCAAGCGGATCAACAGTCCATTCGCGTGTCCCTCCCATTCCTCCACTGAGTGCGCCTTGTCGCTAAGCACAGTCTCCGAGTTTGTGTCCTTAGCGTATGCCAGTTCAACGCCGTGTAGTGTGAAGTACAGCCGCTTCCAGCCCTTAAATAATCCCGCTTGTTTGTACAACCACCCTGCGTGGTTCGACAGCGCCGTTTGTACGTAGCAACTCTTGACCGACGTCTTGGGTTGTGCCGTCTTGCCGTTCGCAGTGGCAGCTGCTGATATTGCGCCGTACCAGAGCATTTGCTCGTCGTACGAGTCCGCGTAGCACACCATAGACACATCAGTGCTTAGCTGGATCGCTAGCCCATTAGCGTGGCAGTCGGCGAATGACACAGCCTTGATATACCCTGAGCACTTCCGATCAACTGTACCACGCTCATGGTCTCGACACTCAATGTACCCATCGATGCGTACAACAAAGAAACAGCGCTTCCAGGCCTTGTTCTTCTCCTGCTTGAACAGATACCCCTCGTGCTGCTCCGATGCAGTGAGAGTATACGACGTTTTGGACTGCGAATTGAGGTTCTGATTGCGTTCAATCACTTTTTCCATCGCATCAAGCCACTGATCAAACTCCTTCTCGTTCGAACAGCGAATCTGAAGTGTACTGCCATCACCGAACTCAAGGAACAGTCCGTAGCGTAGGGAATCCAACTTGCGCACCGACATCAGCAGTCCAAAGCCCTTTGGAGACTGACCCACACCTTTGCTGTACTTAAACTCCGTCCCTGAGAGCACAGCGTAGTAGCGCTTCCACGTTTTGAATGCGCCATGCTGAATAAACACCCAACCGGAGTGAGGAACGTACGCCGCGTTCGATGCCCGGCGGTTGTCAAAGCAGGACGGACGTGGGTCGTCCTGGTTGTTATTGCTTGGTGCTGTAGTGTACGAGTCCGGCGGAGACCGTCCACGTCGAGAAGAGGACAAGTACGGGTCGCTTACTCGCGGTTCTTTCTCCTGTGCCAAGTTGCTGTACCCGCGGTTACGGTGTCCTGCCTGCTGTATTCCTGATCCCTGCTGACCTGCTAGATACGCCACGTAGTTCCCTGTGCTGATGGGCAGTCCCATGACGGCGTCGTCCTCGCCGGTATCCCCTGCCTGGTTCTGATCTGGTCTCATCTCCTCGCTGTCCTTCACTGGCTGCGGCATCTGCGGCATAGTAGCGACCGTTGCGCGGCGGTTCAGGAGGTTGAATGTACCTGGATCGGAGTGAATGGGGCGACTGCCGCTCACGATGGCCTCATAGTTCCGTGTGTCAACGGGTAGACCCACGACCGTACGGTCGCGTTCTTCCTCGTCCTCCTCTTCCTCGTCTACTGTTACCGTCTGCGCCAACGTGGGGCTCTCGAGCTGGTTATCCATTTGCTGCTGGCACACAGCCAACGTCTGACGCTGGTAGGCCGGTGACACACCGCCACTCGAGACGGAGGCCCCTGAGTTTGTGCGTCTTCTTCGCGCCAGGTTATCTAGCAGCGCCTGATAGTTGCGCGTGTTCACGGCAAGTCCCAATGGCGCTGTGTCGTCGTAGCCGTCGTCCAGAGCCTCCGCCTGCTCCACGGAGTGCGGAGACCTGTCCTGACGCGCCAGCATCGCGTCCAGCGTGGTCTTGCCGGCGTGGTAAGCGCTGGCGTCGTCGGGACGTATGGGCGCCACACGCTGCGTGACCATCAACGAATCGAGAGTGAATGTGGAAATGCGGAAATGCCAAGAAGGGAGTGGATGTCGTTGCCACGACGCGCTGTGCTTCTGTCTGATAAGGAAGGCCGTTCCAAGCTGGAGCCAGCGTTTCGAGGAATGGCCCGTGTGTTGGACAGATGAGAACGCGCGGGCTCTGTGTATTATTTTTCTCAGCGACCTGTGTGTATTTGTTTCGCGTGCGTGACCTCTGGCCCGTTTCTGGACACCAATAGTGAAAGCAAATGAAGAGACCTCTAGCCCAATATGATTCGAGATTTACGGTCGGAGCCGCCCGTAATTCGGTGGATCGGCGACTTCACCCTTCTGCACTCTGCTTGGGGCGATGAAGGGCCCTTCCAACGGGCGGAGTATGGGTACAGCTTGGCAGATATCAATCCAAAACTGAGATTACAGCACTGGAAGTTGAGCTATCATTGTCTTGTTGCCGCTGAGGATATCCACCTCTCTACCCGGTAGGGAGAGGCAATAGGTTCAGTGGGGGAAACAACAAAGATTACAGCTCACTCCCGCTCACTTCCCAGGATTTCCAAGTGTATATTTGGCCCCGCGCGATGGTACAAGGTAGAACCCGCCACGCGCAACTCGCCACGAAAACGCTTGCATCCAACACTACACAAGGCAAATAGTCGCGGTTGTCAAATCTTAGCTCTACAACGTGTGTTGACGCCATGAGGGACACGTTTCTCGAAGCTCCACTGACCACCATCGAATTCAGACGAGTGGAGGGAGACTTGAGTTGTGGCCGCCACCGGCTGTCCGACATGACACATGCCGCATGGTGATGCATGTCAGAGGTGGAAGCGGGGCCAGTGGAGACGCTGGAGCGCAGCGCTCGCCCACATGATAACAGAGAACCGCTGACGGCGTGTGGTGACTGTGTGGATCTGAGCACACAGCCTTCTTATTCCGCAACTCGTGGTTGCCAGAGAACTTGGATGCGGGTGCAGGTAATTGCCAGGCGAAGGTAGCTGCTCACGTCAGCCTCATTGCATGTACATTCTGGAGCTGTAAGCCGACTCGTCAGCTGAGAGTTCGCTGCCTGGTTAAGATAATAAGAACAACCGACGCAAAACGGAACCACATTGTGGACACGAGGAAGTTGAAGTGCCAATCATTGCGTGTTGCTCAAAAATCTGAGCGCGAGCACATCGCGATCGGCTTCCTTCACCGGTCATTATCACGCGTAAATTTTCTAGTTTTCCGACATTCATCTCGTTCTCGAACTTCAAAAAACACACGTAAATTTTCTGCTTATCAGACATGCATCTCGTGGCACCACGTCCTAATAGTCCTCAAACTCTTCCTTCTTAACGCGTAGTCGATCGCGGCCACCGGACAGCAACGACTCCCCTGCTTGGCCCTGGCTTTCGCGAAAATGCTTCGCGCAAAGTCCACGCTTTTGGCAGCTTTTATTGCAACCTTCACGGTTGCAAAGTCGTTTTCCGCCGTGACCAGAGCACAAGCCCCGGTGGCAAACAGCCTTTGCGCACCCTTCTGCTTGACATGTCCTTCGGCCTCCGTGGCTAGAACAGAGGCCTCGATAACTAGCTTTATTGACACAGCCCTCTACCTGACACGGCTTGCGTCCTCCATGGGTACTACAGAGGCCTCGGTAATGGGCATTTTTCACGCATCCCTCTACCAGACACTTCGACCGTCCACCATGGCTACAGCATAGACCTCTCACTCCGCTGGTTGCCAAGTTCCTGCAACCATCGATCTTGCATCGTTTGCACTCGTAGTGTGTCCGGCAAAACCCTTCCGACGCCACCTTTTGCTCACAGTTTTTCACTTTACACACAGGCGCGTTAACCTTACCACCACGTATTGATCTTCCAGTTGGCCTTGGTGATTTAGTTCTCCTACACTTTTCCTCTAGGTCTGCGGGGCTTGCGTAGCCAACATTCTCTTCCTTCACTCCCACCGCAGATTTCCTTGTTCGCTTGCAGCTTGCATTGCGGAAGAGGTTCGGCAAATCCGACAAACGCCAAGCATCCGACGCCGCCGGCTTCGGCATCTTCTTGGCTGTCTGCAGCTTGGGACGGCTTTTACTAGTCGACGTAGATGGTGACGTACTGCGCGAACTTGTCATGTCAGTATCAGAAGTTGAAGAATTGTCGTGGTTGACGTGGGAAAGATTTGGCGTTTGCTTCAAGTTTCCTGCCACATTTCCTCCTCCAGCCATATTTTGGCTGAAGTCTTGTGAAGGCAAGGCGTTCTTGTCAACTTCGGTAGCACTACGTCCATGCGCTAAACAATAACCATGTTGATTCTCAGCCTTGTAGCAGTCTTCACTTTTGCACTTCCGTTGGCCGTTGCACAGCACTGGGATTCCGTCTGCAGTGCGTTCAAGAGTAATTTTGAAGGTTTTAGTGCCCTCCATATTAGGAGTTTGGTTCGCCAAATTGCGCAAATCCATATTCGACTCCTTCTTCACTTTCGAGGAATCTCCACTCCCTGGACTCAATTGAGTTCTCGAATTATTTACTTGGAAACGTGGCATCTTCGATATTCTTTCAGTTCTTGGAATTGGTGGGGAGGCGGCGGCGCGTTTGCTACTTGTATTGAAATCCTTGTCGTTTAGAACAAGAATGTGCTCTTGCGTCTGTTTGGCGCTTTGTACTTGAGTCGACGATTCATACTCTACTCGAACGTACTCGTCCTTCATTTCATTCCCAGATCCCTTGTTGCATTTTGAAAGAAAGCGTTCATCATTGCGAAGAGCTGCTCGCGGACGCTGCTGAGGAACGTTCGTGTCACTACGCGTTGTTTCGAGCGTGTTAGGCCGCAATCCAGCAAATCGCATTTTGGATCGCTCCAAGAATTCCTTTGTGAATTTCTTGTGAATATGGTGCGGACTCAATTGATTGACCCGGATACTAACGTTTTTGACTTGCGTAGTGAACTGAGCAACTTGCTCTGATTGCTTTTTAGCAATTTCTCGCCGTTGGGTCAACTTTGCGGTACCGGTTTGCTTTTTTGACTTAGCAAGCTGCCACTCACCATTAGACCCTTTAACAAGCCACCGCTGCACCATCGTTGTGAATGCGCTTTCAATGTCGTTGCTAGCGCTTCCGACATTTTCAGTACATTTTTCTTGCCCCTGCGCGTTCATATTTTCTCTCCGATTTCAAAATGAGCCCTGTTTTCTTTGCGACGAGGCATTAAAAAGCAAAAAGTTGAAATTCGTATTTAGTCACTTGAAACTTTTGGGAACACTGGCAAAAACACTCTTTACACTGCTGCGTGAGTTGCTTGGCTCTGCTGTTGCTGACGAAGTTGCTGCTCTTGTAGAGTCAGAGACAGCATACGCAGCCGCTGGACCTCCTCCTCCAATACGAAGCTCTGCTTGCGCTCGTCCATGTAGCGCGTTTCGAGCTGTCCACAGCGGTGCCTCAACTCGTCGTTCTCTTCCGACAAGCACTCGATTTCCAAGGTTCGATGACGCGCCTCACGCTCGGCAGCGTTAATCAGTGAGTGAAGAGATTCATTGGCTTGCGTCAATTTGTCGACCTTCTTGTGCAGTTCTCGCTGTGTATGACAAAGCAGAGTTAGCTCAGCTCGTACTAGTATAGTAACACAAAGAATAATGTGGAACTAACCATTTCTTCGTCTCTCGTCTCTCCAATGTTGCTATGCAAAAAAAAGGTGACAATTGTGAGATCCAGGACAAGAACGTTAACACACTAGTAGGAAATACGTACAGGTTGGCTCTTTGACGCTTGAGTTCGTTGATCTGCGTTGGGATGGTCATGAGTTGATGTTGCTGCTCTTGAAGCACGTTAATGATCTGCTTTAGATCATGCTGTTGTCGAATAAGCGAAGCTATCGTTTGCTGTTGGTGCAGGAATTGGGTAGTCGAGATGGTAACTGAAGTTTGTGGTAGGTTGACGACACTACCGTTGGTCTCGGGAACATTCATGAGCTGAGACGACGGTGTGGCAGGGCGAACCGAAGTTGGAGTGATCGTGACAGCTGCATCACAGTCCGGGATAGCCAAGCTAGACACCGATCCTGCATTGCTGGTGCTCGATGCGATTGCAGTGCCAGCTGAAGCTGCAATGGCCCCGGTCAAGGATCCATTAGTCAGAGGATCCGAGTTCTCGGTCACTGCCAACGTCTTCAGTTGTGTATAAGCTGTCGCTTCCTGCTGCTGATGCTGGTTTCCGATGGGATCCACCACATTCACAGACTCAACCAACTCACGAGTTGGGCTTTCGCTTCGTCGCCGGTATCGACGCATGGAAGAAGAAGTTTGTCGAAGACGCGGCATGGAGCGAGTCGCTCGCTTCGGTTTGCTGCGACGCTCGATGTTGTCGGAGCTTCGACTAAGCTGGTTGTCCAGCTTTGGGGCGATTTCAACGGAAGTTCCTGCTATCGACGTCGTGGTCACAAAGCGATGATCGTACAGCTGCTCCAGGAAGTCACACATAGCTCTTAGCTAGATAAGTTCTCAGTAGTATCTCGAGACACTTACGTCGTCGGCGTTCTTCCTGGAGGTTGGTGAGTCGGATGCAAGTTCAATAATGGTGAAGCGTCCTCTGCGTTTGACCCTTTTGAAAATTCACAAGCACACATAGACAGTAAGTCAAAAATTCTGCAAGGAGCGTTCCACATTGACGCGAAGCGACTACACAAAAGAGAAAAAAGACGCACCGGCGGGCACCCTGCACCGTTTTCTTTGGAGACGAGTACTTTCGCGATGGCGAACCGGGCGCTGCCGTCGCACTGGCAGTCGTAGCGGTCGACACCTCGCCCACGGAATCCCCCGTAGAAGCTTCCGGCTACGATTGTACCACGTCAGTTTTACAACCTTCTTTCCAATAAAACAACCTTAATACAATGCTCAAAGGTTCGCACCTCGGCTGCAAGACCGGCAGCCACGTTCGCTTCGATGGGCACGGGCGGCACCAAGACTGTCTCGGGCGGCTGGGTATGTGTCTCCGATAGCAACTCCATCGTTAGAGCAGGTTCCACAGCTCCATTGATCGCGATCTTTTCGACGCCATTGCTCTCCGCCAACTTAAGTTGCTGGAGAGATGTAGACTGCGGCTGGATGCTAGCAACTTCGCTGCAGCTGCCTGTAGACACAGGAGCATCGATCGATGCTGGGAAATCCGAGACCGACACCGCGTCGTCCTGAAACGTGGGAGACGACAGCCGCGTCGAGTACGGCGACCCAGGGATGATCTCTGTAATCGTGAAGCGGCCCTTTTGCTCTACCCGCTTGCGCCCCGACTCCATCATGGCTGGCGCTTGGGCGATGGCCCGGTGGCGGCCACGGTGCCAGATAGCAAATTTGCCTTTGCAGGTCCACGCACATAACCGGGTGAGGCTAAGAAACCATCTCCTTAAGTTGCTCGTCAAATCGAAAAGCAACATAACCGATTTCCATTACAAAAACGCTCAAGGCTGCGATGGCGACCCCAGTTTCCACCGGCTCGCAGCGCAAGTTTGGCCCGAAATGGGAACTCAAGTACGCGGTGGCTGTGACGGAGCGCGACCAGCTGACACAGCTGCCTACGAAGGCTGTGTGCCTGATGTGTCAGGCCTTCGAGCGTGAGGAGGCTGTGGGTGCCAAGCGCAAGAAGACCAGCCGCGTGCGCAGCTTCTCGGCGCCCTGGCGGCCTGACAATATGAAGCGCCACATGGAGCAGCAGCACCCGATGCGCTGGGAAGAGTATCAGAAACTTCCGGACGGCGAGAAGCGCGCTTATTTCTCTTCTCGTGAAGATATGGTCATGCCCGGAGGAGATGTGGCGGTGTCTCCAATGGTTAGTGAACCGACGCCTAGTGCTGAAGCCTACACTCTCGCTGCTCAATATAGAGCCTTCCTGATCGACAAAGACATCGTTGAGGAACTCATTGCTGGTGTTTTATTCAAGACAACCAACGACGAATACCAGAACGCGTGGAATGTACCACTGACATTCTCTTTGCTAGAGGAAGCCAGTACGGGGCTGAACAATGCAGACGTTGATGTGAATGAGTCGCGTTATGTTGCGCGAGTGGAATCTTTGCTAAATTTTAACATGTGCTTGAAGTACGTGGCCATGGGCATCTCGTTCAGCCAAGTTGTTCCGCTTTTCCAAAAGACGACCGAGGAGACAGGAATGGATATGAGTTTGAGTGGATCCGCATTCACGGAGCAACAGCTGGCGTGTTTGTGTCGTGTGGTGTGTGCTGTCAACTTTCAGACGCTCAAGGATGCGCTGCGTCGTGTTTGGGCGTTTACTATCGCGCTTGAAAAGGGAAATGGCGCAGGTTCGCCTTATCTGGACGTTCGTGTACGCTTTGAACGCGACGGCCGCGTGTTTGATTTCCATTTGATTTCCGTTCCTATTCGGGAGGATTCGCCTCAAATTACCCAACATCAAGGCGAACTTATCGTCAAGTGTTTAGATGTTGTGGCGCCTGGATGGAAGTCGCAACTAATTGGAGTCTCAACTTCCGACTCGTTCTCGAAAATGCCTTCTTGCGCACGAGTTTTAGTGAACCGTTTGGCGCAAAGTTGCGTAGCCTCAATTTACTGTGAATGGGGTCTGGTGTTGCAACTGGAACAGGCAATTCAGGAATCTTTCAACGGGTTATGCAACCAGCGGTTCATGTCTGGTTTAACTGTACTAGTTGGACATTTTCGTCGACAACGGGTGTTGATTCGTGAGATGAATGGAGATTTGTGTCCCAAATTTGAAGATGGCCAGTGGCGATCAATAACAAATGTACTGGAGTGGTTTGTTTCGAATCGCGCACGCCTCGTTAAATGTGTTCAGGATACACAACCAACCGGTGCACCTGGAAAGGAGTGGTGGATCACAGTTCTTGCTGTGAATAGTATCATGGAACGTGTGGACGGTGCGCTCACGATGCTTCGTGGACCTTCTGCTGCATTGCGATCAGCTCGGCGTGCATACGTTGCTAAGCTTGTGACGGATCTCGCTGTGATGACTGGTGCTCTTGGGCCTTTGGCTGTGTCGCAGCAGGCTACAGATACTTTTGAGTTTGGGGATTTCTCTGTAAGTAGAGAAGCGACTCTTTCGTTTCTAAAAGAACAAGGCAGCTTTGTGATAAACGCGGTGAACGAATTGGAGGTGGACTTCCCGGCTTGTTGTCAAGCAGCTGTGGAATCTACAGCAAACTTCGCCGTGTCCGTCATAGCTAGAGCGCATCAGATTATGCTGGAGGGCGACGAGAATGGCAACATCACAGCGGCTCCAAGCGCTGCCATGCCCCCGTTCCTCCCTCAAACTTTGTGTAAGACGCGAAACCAAGTCTTTGCCACGCATTTGCAGTCACAACGGGTGCGTTTGCTGCAACACTTCTCGGCTGATCAGATCGAACTGATTGAAGACCAGCATCGAATGCTACGCACATCGTACCAGCTTGACGAACACGTGAGCCAACAAATAAATGCGCTACCAGCAACCTGTTCATTTACTGAGGCATGGAAAGACGCTCGCTTTGGAGGAAATGACTGCAAACTTCTTCGCGAGTTCTGCGGAGCGATTGCATGCGCAGCTACAGACCCAGTGGTGCTGAAAAACACAACCGAAGCCGACTTTTTGCTGATCAATTGGCGAAGGAGCCCCTTCGGTCTCTCGCTTGTGGATTTCTCGTTAGAAGCAGTACTGCATGCCCAACAGTATCGTGCTCTGTCTCGCTTACGAGAGTGCTGAAGAGTTTTGAGTAATAATACAATTATGAAACAACAGTTGGTTGCCCATTTCCTAGCTTGTACAGACGATAAGTAGTGTGATAATAGTAGCGAGGAAGGCAAGCGAGCATATTGTGGCGAACACTGGGAACTTGTGCTTGCGGTCGGTCACCTTGACGAGCTGTTCCGGCGGTTCTGCTCCATTGGTGGGCACCCGATGATCCAATTCAAGCATGTCGAGGTGGGGCTCCTATCAATGAAAGTTTGTTTGTCAAACAAAGAATGCACTGGTTAGATTGAGAGTCCTACATACCCAGTAGTCAGGCATGATGTCGGTGTCGACTATGGTCACGTCTTCGTGTGCTTGGTCCCAGTCTCCGAGAGCTACCGGCTTGCTCACTTCACTTTGGGCATCTCTTCGATTGGTCCGTGGTCTCAGATACGCAACACTTGTGGTCTCCGCTACGATTAGTGAACAGCCCACTAGCACCAGCCCAAGTTGCACTAAACGTCCACGTCTTGTCATGATCGTGAAGGTCGCAGTGGCAAGTGTTGGTCTCCAATAACGACTGACATGTGAAACGACGCGGAACTTGGCGTTTCATTGGTTATCACTTACGAATTTTACCCAATGGAAAATATTCGCGCGTTTTTTGCAAGAATGGCTCGACAGCCAACGACTCGCGGCCATTCCGCATTTTGACGTCAAAGGGAAACCAACGACTACGGCTAAAAGTGAAGTGCAAACGAGAGTGATGGTCGCCAGTGCGTTCCCGGACGACGCAGTGGCTCAGCAGCCTATGCCCGACCTCGTAGCCTTGGAAAAGATCGAGGAGGAGGAGCGTAAGGAGCGCGAGGCCCGCGCGGTCAAAGAAGCTGCCAATGCGGAGCCCGTGGAGGTGACAGGCGAGAAGATCGCCAAGCTTGACTCTCTCCTAGAGAAGGCAAGTCTCTACTCGAGTTTCCTCTTTTCTAACATGGAGAGCGCTGCCACTGTCAGCGACGTGGTGAAGGTTGAAGAGGAAGAGGAACAACCCACGAAGGGTAAGCGCAAACGCGGCAAGAAGGCGTCACAGGAGTCCAATAAAAAGACCAAGAAGGGTGTCGACAAGCTGCGTGAGGTGCAAGGTGATGCGTCCTTGGATACGCGTCAGCAGCCTCAAAAGGTGGAGTTCCATCAGCCAAAGCTCCTAACAGGCGGCAAGTTACGCGACTACCAGTTGGAGGGCATTCGATGGCTCTGCAACTTGTTCGAGAACGGTCTGAACGGCATTCTTGCGGATGAAATGGGTCTGGGAAAAACGATCCAAGTGATCGGTCTTTTAGCGCATTTAAAAGCACTCGGCGTGCGAGGTCCGCACCTTATTGTGGCCCCACTGTCGACGCTGATGAACTGGGCAACAGAATTCCGCAAATGGGCTCCCAGCATGCCCGTGGTCATTTACCACGGCACTAAACAGGAGCGAAAGGAGTTGCGTAAGAACGCGCTTAACTGCAAGAGGAAAAGTGACGTCAATTTTCCAGTCGTCATTTCATCGTACGAGGTGATGATTTCAGACGCGAGATCGTTTGCCAGCTCCGGGTTCGTGTGGAAGTACATGGTCATTGACGAAGGGCACAGACTAAAGAATATGGACTGCAAGCTCGTGCGTGAGCTCAAGCGCGGGCGATCAGAGAACAGACTGCTGCTTACAGGTACACCACTGCAGAACAACCTGACGGAGTTGTGGTCGCTGCTCAACTTCATTCTACCGGATGTATTCGACGATCTTGAGCTCTTTGAGAGTTGGTTCTCGTTTACACCTGATGCTGTTGCTACGGCTGCTGCGGCGGGTGAGTCAGTAGCTGCACAAGATGTGCTACAAGGGGAGAAAAAGGTCGAAGTTATTGCCAAGCTGCATGAAATCCTTCGACCGTTCCTGCTTCGTCGTCTGAAGGTGGATGTGGTGAAAGAGATGGTCTCAAAAACGGAGATTTTTGTCTACTGTTCCATGACCCCGATGCAGCGGGAATACTATCAAATGATTCGTGATGGCACGCTGGCAAAGGCTATGGAAGAGAAGTACGGCAAGTTCCAAGCCCAGAAGGCGTTCAATACGTCAACGTTGAGGAACAGAATGATGCAGATGCGCAAATGCTGCCTCCACCCATACCTATTCGACGAGCCTTTGACGCCAGGTGGAGAGGTTATTACGGATGAGATGATCGTGGAAACGTCTGGAAAGTTGAGTATTCTGGATCGGATGCTAAGGCAGCTCAAGCGCAAGGGCCATAAAGTCCTTATTTTCAGTCAGATGACACGGATGATGGACATTCTGGAGGACTACCTCCGCATGCGCGAGTACAGCTACTGCAGACTTGACGGCAGCACCAAACTGATGGACCGTGTTGATCAGATGGAGAAGTTCAACAAGGTATCGGCTGGATCGGGTTCTACTAACCACGACGATAACATCTTCGTGTTCATGCTCTCTACGCGTGCTGGCGGTCTCGGTATTAATCTGATCGCAGCTGACACAGTCATTTTCTACGACTCGGACTGGAACCCTCAGCAGGACAACCAGGCTATGGATCGTTGCCACAGAATCGGTCAAAAGAACGAGATCATCGTGTATCGTCTTGTGACTGAGAACTCTTTCGAAGACCGCATGACTCAGCGAGCATTCGAGAAGCGCAAACTCGAGCGCGTTGTCATCCAGCGTGGTGGATTCAAGCAGCGAACGACCCCAGCAGAGAGCGCCAAGCTCACAAATTCGGAGTTGGAGGAACTCCTGAGAGACGACGTGGAGATTCGTAAGGGCGTCGAGAGTGGGGGCATTACAGATGGCGAGCTGAATCAAATTCTGGATCGCGAATTGGTTGTCAAGAGCTTTGTAAAAAACACCAAGGATGAAAACACAAATGCATCAGATGTGATTCCACTCAAAGGCCATGGCTATGAAGTGGTTGACAATGCACCTGCAGCCATGGAGAGCTTTGCATGAGTCTTCTGCGTGCCGATATCAATCATGTCAATACAGTTCCAATTTGTACTTCACTACCGCTGCTGGATTCTGTATCGCCCTGTCAATGCATGTACTACTTGGTGGTGTTGAGTGCTTTCGTGAGTGCCTCCTGCTCTTGGAGGAACGTCGTAATGAACGCAGGAGGGGATCGCATCGTTGATAACAGGAGTACGAGGTGTTGAGCTACCTCCATGTACTGAGGTGGATGACGTTGGTCGCGATTTTCCTCGTGGCAAAGTTTACGCAGAATCTTACCAATGAGCCTGACACGGAGACACGCAAAATGTTAGGAGGAGTGAAAGGAAGGCTGAAAAGTGTGCATCATCAACTTACGAGGCGTTGATTTGCTGTGGAGTTCCAGTGATTGTAACGCGATGATGCACCCATTGCCATAGTTGCGCACGTGAGATTTCAGCCGTGGCCGAATCTTCTACACATCCATTCACGACGACAGTGCCTTGTCCGTACAACCAGTGAAGCACGTACAGAAGTGCCACATGTACGTTCATCTCCACGGATTGTAGCGTGACGTCTCCCTTTGGAAGAGTAAGCAGCTTTTCGGTGAACAGTCTTTCGTCAACTGCAACATATGAAAATCCAGCTTTGGTCGTGCGTTCACGCGCTGACGTAAATACTTCCGCCCCGGGTTTTACAAGTGCCAAGTCATACACCAGCGCTCCGTCAGATCCAGCCAAAGCTTCCATCGTTTTTCCTGTTCGAGTTTTCTCAATCGCTTCAGCTTGTGAGAATCCCGGCGGCAACTCCGCAAGAACAAAAGGCACCATGCCGGTAGTTGCCGGTGCATGACGTCGCTTGCATGTGGCTATCAGCAGATCCATATAGTATCTGTGTTGAAGGGCAAATAGTGTTAAATGTGTTAGCCAAAGCGTCCAGTAAGGGTATCAAAAGAGAGCACTTGTTCGTACCTGAGAAAGTCAGACTTCATCGAGACGAACTGCTGACGGTCTGGCAACAAAAACGCAGGACGATGGCGGAAATTGACAACAATGGACGCCGTGTAGTCCCACATGCCGCAGTTTAGACCAGAGGAGTAGTGACGAAGTTCAAACAGAATTTCATCCATCTCGAATGCAGCAAAAATATTCTCGATCAGCACCGTCGCCTTGATGCGTCCCTGTAATGTGTGCACGGTACCATTAGGCTTTCATCTGGCTCATGTTAAGTTGCAATAGAAAATCTTACGCGGGCAAACTCAAGTTTCTTCTCCGTGTACTCAAAGATTCTTCGCCATAGCGCAGCTTCCTTGTATCCTTCCAACTGTGTTGTGCCAGCACAACCATTTTTAATTAGATTAAATGATTTAATGTTAGGCAAATAGTGCTACATGACATGATTTGGGAGTCTTACCTTGGGGAGATACAAGAACGGCCCCGTTCCATTGTTCAAAAGATGTTTGCCACTGCGTTAAAGGCGATAACAAGTTATCAGTTGAGAAGCCTTGTGTAGGAGACCAAACAGGTCACGTACTTGTGGAACAGGTGCATCCCGAAATCAAAAAGCGCACCAGGCACAACACGCCCATTCACTACCATGTGCTGCAGCCATTAAACTGTGAGCAAAGCATAAAGCTTCTAATCAGATACTTATTGATACGCACCGGTTCATCCATATTCCACGCTCTTGGACGGATAACCAGAAGCGCCGGGTTGGCAACAGTCGTCTGTCCTGACACTTCCAGCAAGCCTCGAGCAGCTTGTAGAACATTAAAGTGGCCCTGAAGCGTGTTGCTCCATGTCGGACAATGCCCGTCATCGAAATCCACTTGCACACCCTGCATTTTACCAACAACAATCAGTAAAGCGACCACCAATATCCCCTTTCACTCTTAGCCTCATACCTGCGCGCCAGAGTTCAATGCACGCAGTAGAAATTTTCGGTTCGCAGGTGACACGTCTCCGATATCGACGCGTCGGTCCATCAGCGCGTTTGGCTGAGGATCGACCCGCCATGTTTCATCTTCTCTTATCGCTCGTGTCTCTTCTAGAAAATGAGGCATCGCTCCATTCTGCTCTGTCGCTAAACGTCGAGCTTGACGTCTCGCGTGCAGCTACAGGTCACCCCATGAGCAAAGTAATATAATAAGAACTAGATAATATCTTTACCGACCTGCTCGACTTCATGTTGGAATGTAGCAGCCAGCTCCGCCACAAACTCGAGCGCAGCAGGTGACAGCACTGCGTCATAGACATTCTGAGGGCATGAAGCATCTCTAGGCGACACAAATACGTCGGTGGACGAAGACGAAGACGTTGAAGCCGCGCTAATGTGCGCGTGCAAGCGGTTGATGCGCTCCATGATCAAGACCGCTAATAATCTGATTCTCATCGCATTAGGTGGTTTCATTGGCAGAAATGAATTATGACCAATGATAAGGTGTGAAGATTATTGAGCAGCTACTCCATCAATTATCATGGATGTCCGGGTGCGCCTCGTGTTCGCGGACGACGTGGGACGCCACGTGCAGCGGCGCCGTGGGTTCTCATCGTGCTGGTATCTGGTACCGAACGACGTGAAGCTTGTGGGCGATCTGGCACACGCTTTGCTGCGGGAGTTTGAGCTGCGCAAAAGATGTCCCAAAGGACTGGAGCTGCGGCTAGAGGAGCTGCCACTGTTAGCCACTCAGAGCATCCGCATCGTGCGAGATAACGACACAATTGTCGTCCAGTGCCCCCCACTGGAGGACGAGAAGGACAGTAGCAGCGAGTCGTCCTCTTCGGAGAGTGAGACGGAAGTTTTAACGAACAGAAAGCGAAAGTTGCATGTAAAGAAGAAGCAGGCACAGCCGAAGAAGAAGAAAAAGGCTGTGGAAAAAGAGGTGAAAGACCGACAAAGAGCAAGTACGAAGAGTCGTGAAATGGCAGTGAAGACACTTGCTGCTGCGAAGCAGAGCAGTAAAGTGGAAAGTATCAGCTGCAGCTCCAGCTCCAGCTCGAGTAGCGCCAGTGATAGCAGCAGTGAAAGCTCCAGTGAGAGTTCGAGTAGCAGCGAATCGGAGGACGAACCTGAAGCACGATCCAATGGGAAGCGCGTCGCAAAAACCACCGCAGCAAAGCAGCAGACGAGAAGATCGACAGTTGCGGCTTCCGCTAAAGTGTCCAATGGTGAAGCGAGCAAGGCAAATGCATTGGAGCAGACTGGAAAAGAACCACAAAGGCGACGTCGCCGACTGAGACAGCGGAATGGAAGACGACAAAGAAATGGTAATCAGGTGGACAATGCTGACAGCTCCACGCCTCTGACACCATTGACTGGAAACGGTACTGCTTCGCTGAGGCAAGATCACGCGGCGGTTGTTTCAGATCATGTTTCAACTTTTGGAAGACAAGACGGGGGTAACATTGCTGGTCCTAGAGGCTATCCTCGATCCAAAGCGCATGTCCTCTTTGACGAAGTGACTGGAAATCAAGTGGCTAAACATCACCATGAGGATGTCACTCGGGAGAATGCCTCAGCTGTTCGACGATCTCCAGCGCCTGAACTGGCAAAATACGGTCCTTCATCGCCAGATAACCAACGATTAAGAGCCCCCCGCAATAACCAGGATCAAAATGTCTCCCTCTCTATCGGATTAACCGAAAGAGATGAAAAAGCCGTGGACTCTAATCGTGCAAACAAACGAAAGGGAAAAGGCAAATATGAAGAACGGTGGAAGCGGCCATACGAAATTTTAGCGACTGTTCTCGATAAGACGTCACAGAACTCAAGCACAAGCAGCTCATCGCCTCCGGTACGCCAACACTGTTGCGTAAGTGAAGGCTTGACATGACTAACATTATTATTGGTGTTTTAGGATATATCCAAAGCATTGGCTTCATACCCGACCGCACCTGCCGCTTCGTCTCGCTTTGAGCCGAAGGATGTCATTGCCTTCAAAACACTAACGCTGTGCCTCGAGACGTGCCAGCCATTGCTGAGCGAATGGAAGTGTGGACAGGTACAGTCTGCGGATGCGTCATGTAGTACTATCGAGGTGTCAAATTGGATTCTCGAAGCCGACGGCGAATCTGTGAACTACCGTGAGTCCCGAAGCGATGAATCGTGCAGCGTGCAAATTAGCGAAATCAGCGAGCTGCGGTTCTTGAGCGGCCCTAACTACACCTCACTGCAGCAGACTACACCCCCCGAGACGTCATAGATTTCCCCAAATACAATCATTGTGCGTATCCCATTCGTGGAAATGTCGACCAATCGCCGTCTAAGTATGCACCCACTTCAACTTGCCTCGAACCGAGTGACGAATTGCTGTGCACCCTGCTTCTTGATCGTTTTTCACATTTGCTTTTCCTTTATATTTAGTCGAGTTTGATGAAGAGTACACGCATATGCTAGCTAGCTACTACGAAGCAAGGAGAACCACTCGGCTACTTAGACGTTCGGGCCGTATACCGACAGGTCGTTGCCAGGCAGGATGAACTGCTTGAAGTTTTCCTTGAACGCCTTGGCCAGCTTGAGTGCCGTCTCGTCGAACGCAGCCTTGTCCGTCCACGAGTCCTTCGGGTTCAGGATCTCGGAAGGCACGCCCTCCACCGCCGTGGGGATCTCGAAGCCGAACAGCGGGTCCTTCACGAATGTCGCGTTGTTGATGCTGCCGTCCAGCACCGCGTCCACGCACTTGCGCGTGTACGGCAGCTTCATGCGCTTGCCCACGCCGTACACGCCGCCCGTCCAGCCCGTGTTGATCAGGTACACGTTCGTGTTGTGCTCCTGCAGCTTCTTCTTCAGCAGGTCCGCGTACTTGGTCGGGTGCAGCGTCATGAACGCAGCGCCGAAGCACGTCGAGAACGTCGCCTGCGGCTCCGTGATGCCGCGCTCCGTGCCCGCCACCTTGGCCGTGTAGCCCGACAGGAAGTGGTACTGCGCCTGACCAGCAGACAGCTTCGACACGGGCGGCAGCACGCCGTAAGCGTCGCACGTGAGGAAGATCACGGCGTTCGGGTGGTTGCCGCGAGAGTTGGGCTGGTGGTGCGGGATGTGGTAGATCGGGTACGACACGCGGCCATTCTCCGTCTTGCTCGAGTTGAAGTAGTCGGGCTCGTTGTTGGCGTCGATCCACACGTTCTCCAGCATGGCGTTCGGGCGGATGGCGTTGAAGATGTCCGGCTCGTTCTCCTTGCTCAGGTCGATGGTCTTGGCGTAGCAGCCGCCCTCGAAGTTGAACACGCCCTCGTCGTCCCAGCCGTGCTCGTCGTCGCCGATCAGCTCGCGCTTCGGGTCGGCCGACAGCGTCGTCTTGCCCGTGCCCGACAGTCCGAAGAAGATGGCCGTGTCGCCCTCCTTGCCGATGTTGGCCGACGCGTGCATGGCCATCACGCCGTTCAGCGGCAGGTAGTAGTTCATCATACTGAAGATACCCTTCTTCATCTCACCACCGTAGAACGTACCACCGATGATAGCCATGTGCTTCTCAATGTTGAAGATCACAAACACTTCCGAGTGGAGTCCGTGGGCCTCCCAGTCCTCGTCCACGACGTTGCACGCGTTGATGACCGTGAAGTCGGCCTGGAAGTTCTCCGCCACGCTAGCGAACTCCGGGCGGATGAACATGTTGGTCACGAAGTGGTGCTGCCACGCCAGCTCCGTGATGATGCGCACGTTCAGGCGGGACTTCTCGTTCACACCGCAGTGGCCGTCGAACACGTACATGCGGTCCACGGAGCTGAAGTGCTTGGCGGCTTTGGCGTACAGCGCGTCGAACACCTCGGGCGTCGTGGGCTGGTTGATCGAACCCCACCACACGTTGTCCTGGGACGGCTCCTGCTTGACGATGAACTTGTCCTTGGGCGAGCGGCCCGTGAACTTGCCCGTGTCCACGGCGAACGTGCCGTTGGCCACGAACGTGCCCTCGTTGTACTTCTTCTCGTGGTCCGCGAGCTGCTCGTACGTCAGGTTGTGGAACACCTTGCAGCCGTTCTCAATGCCAAGCTCACCCAGGCCCAGGGCGGCGGTCGTGGTCTCATGCTGCGCCATTTTGTCAGTCGGTTGAGTTGTCTTGTACTTGGATGAAGGTTGAGCTGGATGTGCTCAGACCGATGCCAATTGGAAAGTGAGTTTCGAGTTGGAAGACGTGTCTGAGTCGACGTCCGAGATGATGGTTGTGCGGTTCGAGTGTGGGGGCAGAGCAGTGCACGCGACGTCCCAACACAACAGCAGCGACCCGATGTGAAGCACGGCGACGTTGCATTTCGATCGGAGAGCCCTACCGCTTTCTGCAACAAAGTGGCGGGGATGACACGCCCTTGTCGACGTTGTTTGGTTCCCGTGCCACGTCTCTGGTAGCACTTAGTGCATACGTGGTTCAAGTAAGATTGCTCTCTCGGAGAAGTTGCCACAATGGTGAATTCGATAGACGATCGAATTTCAGTGTTTTTAGGTGAGCGCACGTTCTAATTTCCGGCGGTCGACGGCACAGTTGCTGCTTGGAAGGCAGAGCAGCCATTGGCAAGACACACCTCTCCTGAGCTTGCGCTTGCCATGGCTAAAAGCCTATCTGTCGGCGCAGGCTCCGTCATTGGTAGTGTATGGATGAAGCTCCTTCAACGGGTGACTGGTGAGATACCCTCGCGGCGGTCAACAGTCCCTCGGTACGGGATGGCTGGTGAAATCGATGAAAAGACGGTGGGGAGTACTGATGGAGCTACTGCCGCGAAGTATAGTGCTCTCCAGAAAAGCAAGCTTTTGGACTGGAAACGTCGATAATTAACAAGCTGCAGCCCAACGAAGTTTTAATTCGATATCGACCACAGGTATCGTCACCTCCATTGTCACTGCAGAAAGCAGAACTTGGCACTCCAATTCGTGGAAACGCCGATCAGAATACTCGCCCACTTCAAGTTACGGCAATTGGCTTGCTTCAGCTAAAAAATGCAAGCAACCGGGATAATAAGGAACTGTGGATATGTTCGTACCATGTATTTAGCTTAGTTTGTCTCCAAGCACCACTTTGTGACTGAGAATGTTCTCGTTGGTTCAATTCTGACGGGAGTATCATATATTTGTGGAAGTCCGGTCGGTAGACTGCCTTCGCTTCGAGAGCGCGCCATATCGCCGTGTTCCTCGCGGATGCCTCGTGGACGGAAGCGCAGCGGCCCCGGAGAACTCCTCCCTCCCTTGTCGCCGACAGCCAGGCACTGACGCTGCTGGAGCGGCTTCAGCAGCTCTTTGCGCGCCATTAGCAGCTCCGATCGATCTTTGACCCGGCGGAATTCAAGCACGTTGGACGGGTCCACGGGCGGCTCAGCCGTTGGCATCTGCTCAATGCAACCGGACACGCCCAGTGACGACGTTAGCTTGACGAAGCGCTCCTTGGCACGCAACCGGTTGAATTCCGCGGCGAACCCGGCACCGCTTGCAATCTCGTCCACAATCTGCTCGGTGGACTTGTACCGGAAGCTCGCGTCGTACAGCCACATCTGGCCCGCATTGCGTTGCACGAAGTCTGCCACCATCATTTTACGCCCTTCAAGCTGTTGCAAGTGTCGCGCCTTCACCTCGTCGCGGGCATCGTTGTTGCCACTTGTGTTCTCGTTCAAACGCAAGTGCATCTTCATTTCGTCTTCGTCTACAATTCCATCTCCGTCGATATCGATGGCGCCGTAGGCGTTAGAGAATACCTCTGGGCTGCTTGCACTGGCAGTCAGCCTGCGCTCCACCGAATCGACCTGGTTGGGATCAAGTGCGGGCGACACGAGCTTCTTCTTGGGCTCCAATTCCGGCAAAGGGTGCTTCGTGAACGACGGACTCCGCATCTTTCGAGTTGTCTCAATCCACGTCTGCCGCTCGGTAGGGCCATTGGACAAACCGTCAGCAGTGACTTCACCATGAATGCACGTGCGCATTTGATGCGATGAGCGGACCGTGCGATTGCGCTCCGTGCTCTCGAGGAACGGCATAAGCTTCTTAAAGTTTTTATGCGCTGCGATAAACTCGGCGGCCTGATTATCGTTCATGTCTGTGAAGATGGAGCCGTAACGCCACAGTCGGTCGTGGTTGCGCTCCACGAACTCCTTCGCGATGAGTAATCGACCTGCGCTCTGATGCATTGCCAGCACTTCGGCTTCAGTCGGCTCGGGACAATCGTCCGATCCTTGCTTCCGCCGTTCGAGCAGCATCGCGTCGAGGAACTTGGCAAGGCGCATTTCACGGACGTCGACGACCCCATCACCGTCGATATCGTAGCCTACTTTCAGAGCTGCCTTCTCCGACTTGACGCCGGATTCCCTTCTTGCTGCCGCCTTTGCTCGGAGTTTGGCGACTGGTTTGTCGACAACGTCGGTGACGTCTGCGCTCAAGTATTTCCACCGCGCCTTTGTGTTGGAGTTGCCAGCATGCGGTTTACGGATGCGTTTGCCCTTCAGGCGCCCGTCGTAGCCACTCATCCCGCCAAAGGAGGCAAAGATGACCTGCTCTATAGGTGATCAGGAAGATGCCCCACATTTATAGCAATCATGCCTCAAAAATAGACGACAAAAGAGTGGAGAAAGTTGTGAGTGAGGTTTCCTCGGCGAGAAAGCATGGCATTTTCCGCTGGCTTATTGGGAATCGATGTTGAAGTTATCAGATGTCGCTTTTCTGCCCCACATGAACGAGACGCTGGTGACGGTTCCTTGTCACCGCGCTCTGTTCGAATGGGGTGACGGTTTTCGCGTGTCCAGCGCAATTACACGTGAAACGCATTGCGTTTCGAAACCAATACGAATACAAGTATTTGCTCTCCACCAACAGGGATTACACTGTAGAACATCTTATGGGTCAATGGCTAGTAGCGAGCCCAACAAGACCGAAATCCCAACACCAGCGTCAATGGCCTCTCTACGTCCTGTTAACTCCCTAGTGGCAACTTCTCCGAGAGAGCAATCTTACTTGAACCACGTATGCACTAAGTGCTACCAGAGACGTGGCACGGGAACCAAACAACGTCGACAAGGGCGTGTCATCCCCGCCACTTTGTTGCAGAAAGCGGTAGGGCTCTCCGATCGAAATGCAACGTCGCCGTGCTTCACATCGGGTCGCTGCTGTTGTGTTGGGACGTCGCGTGCACTGCTCTGCCCCCACACTCGAACCGCACAACCATCATCTCGGACGTCGACTCAGACACGTCTTCCAACTCGAAACTCACTTTCCAATTGGCATCGGTCTGAGCACATCCAGCTCAACCTTCATCCAAGTACAAGACAACTCAACCGACTGACAAAATGGCGCAGCATGAGACCACGACCGCCGCCCTGGGCCTGGGTGAGCTTGGCATTGAGAACGGCTGCAAGGTGTTCCACAACCTGACGTACGAGCAGCTCGCGGACCACGAGAAGAAGTACAACGAGGGCACGTTCGTGGCCAACGGCACGTTCGCCGTGGACACGGGCAAGTTCACGGGCCGCTCGCCCAAGGACAAGTTCATCGTCAAGCAGGAGCCGTCCCAGGACAACGTGTGGTGGGGTTCGATCAACCAGCCCACGACTCCCGAGGTGTTCGACGCGCTGTACGCCAAAGCCGCCAAGCACTTCAGCTCCGTGGACCGCATGTACGTGTTCGACGGCCACTGCGGTGTGAACGAGAAGTCCCGCCTGAACGTGCGCATCATCACGGAGCTGGCGTGGCAGCACCACTTCGTGACCAACATGTTCATCCGCCCGGAGTTCGCTAGCGTGGCGGAGAACTTCCAGGCCGACTTCACGGTCATCAACGCGTGCAACGTCGTGGACGAGGACTGGGAGGCCCACGGACTCCACTCGGAAGTGTTTGTGATCTTCAACATTGAGAAGCACATGGCTATCATCGGTGGTACGTTCTACGGTGGTGAGATGAAGAAGGGTATCTTCAGTATGATGAACTACTACCTGCCGCTGAACGGCGTGATGGCCATGCACGCGTCGGCCAACATCGGCAAGGAGGGCGACACGGCCATCTTCTTCGGACTGTCGGGCACGGGCAAGACGACGCTGTCGGCCGACCCGAAGCGCGAGCTGATCGGCGACGACGAGCACGGCTGGGACGACGAGGGCGTGTTCAACTTCGAGGGCGGCTGCTATGCCAAGACCATCGACCTGAGCAAGGAGAACGAGCCGGACATCTTCAACGCCATCCGCCCGAACGCCATGCTGGAGAACGTGTGGATCGACGCCAACAACGAGCCCGACTACTTCAACTCGAGCAAGACGGAGAATGGCCGCGTGTCGTACCCGATCTACCACATCCCGCACCACCAGCCCAACTCTCGCGGCAACCACCCGAACGCCGTGATCTTCCTCACGTGCGACGCTTACGGCGTGCTGCCGCCCGTGTCGAAGCTGTCTGCTGGTCAGGCGCAGTACCACTTCCTGTCGGGCTACACGGCCAAGGTGGCGGGCACGGAGCGCGGCATCACGGAGCCGCAGGCGACGTTCTCGACGTGCTTCGGCGCTGCGTTCATGACGCTGCACCCGACCAAGTACGCGGACCTGCTGAAGAAGAAGCTGCAGGAGCACAACACGAACGTGTACCTGATCAACACGGGCTGGACGGGCGGCGTGTACGGCGTGGGCAAGCGCATGAAGCTGCCGTACACGCGCAAGTGCGTGGACGCGGTGCTGGACGGCAGCATCAACAACGCGACATTCGTGAAGGACCCGCTGTTCGGCTTCGAGATCCCCACGGCGGTGGAGGGCGTGCCTTCCGAGATCCTGAACCCGAAGGACTCGTGGACGGACAAGGCTGCGTTCGACGAGACGGCACTCAAGCTGGCCAAGGCGTTCAAGGAAAACTTCAAGCAGTTCATCCTGCCTGGCAACGACCTGTCGGTGTACGGCCCGAACGTCTAAGTAGCCGAGTGGTTCTCCTTGCTTCGTAGTAGCTAGCTAGCATATGCGTGTACTCTTCATCAAACTCGACTAAATATAAAGGAAAAGCAAATGTGAAAAACGATCAAGAAGCAGGGTGCACAGCAATTCGTCACTCAGTTCGAGGCAAGTTGAAGTGGGTGTACACTCAGACGGCGATTGGTCGGCATTTCCACGAATGGGAATGCACGCATTTGGGGCAACTTAAGCGTCGATTTGAAGAGCAAATTGCTTTTGGGTCTGAGTCCATTGAGCGTGTCGTAGCTGTTATCAAGATACCCATTTCTCTTGCATGCGATTGCAGAACGGCGACAGTTTGGGACTCTCGTTAGCCAACGTAGCCAGCATATCGACGACTTCAGAGTTATCAGCATTAACTTGGTGCAACAGGTCCAAAACGTCTTCGCACAGAGCGAGAATCTGCTCCTTTTCATCTGGTGACGGTGTAAATTCTGCGCCTTCATCGAACAATTCGCAGAAAGCTACAGCACGAAGCACACCAACCAGAACCTCCTCGGTGTGCGGCGCAATGCGGGGCCATGCAGCCAGCACAGTAGCTTGCAACGTTTCTAGCGTCGCCACCAAAAGTGCAACATTGACGCTCTCAAATCCCGCGATCAGCACCTTCAGCAGTGGCTGCAAGTAGCGAATGACATTCATGCTGTACGGAGCGCCTTGCCGAACCACAACAATGCGCAGATGTCGGACAAAAACTACTCGAACAGCAACATCACTACACAAACTCGTGTCGCTGAGCAGACGCGGCATAAATCGATCGTAATGCTTGAGCTCACCGGGAGGTGACACCTTATCTAGCGCTTCCACAAGACAATCAAGCAGCACGTTTAGCGTATCGGGCTTGCGAGTGACAATGGCTGTGTGCAGAACCTCCAGTAGGACATCCGAGTACCAGCGCAACTCCGTCGACGTGACATTCTTCACAATGTGCCGCAACATACGTGCGCCAATTATCTGAGTGGCATCGGTCAGGTCGTCAACTAGAGGAAACGTGAGCGCCAGCAGACGTCCTAGCAGATCCCCACCTAGATGCGGGAACGGCACTTGTTCCACTACCTGCAACATGATCTTTTTGTTTACGGAAGACACCGCCACCCACTGCTCCTTGTCCACGTCTTGCGAGCATAGTGCCACGATCTGCGCAACGTATTTTGCCACCAGACTCTCTCGATTTTTAGCGTTTACGAGATCCACAGCCGCGTCCAGAGTCTCCTCAGCAACTACGACACTTTGCATCAGATCAGAACCCGGTAGTTCTGCTCCAGTCACGAAGATACAAGCTGTAAGCACGAACGGCAGCCACCGGAGCAGCTCCTTGTCGTCCAGCAGCTCTTGACGTCTCAAACGGTTCACAAATGCGCTCAGGACACGCAGAATTGGCAGCAGATGGTCATCTGATACCACGAGTTTTGCCACATCCTCCATGTCCGCTGCGATAACTGTAGCATATTTAATAATCACGCGACTGAGTGCTTTGACAACGCGAGTGAGGTCACCATGCAGCGTCTGCAGCTCCAGATCATCGATGGCTGGTAGGGCGTCTGCTAGTTTCCATACATCTTGCAGATCTCTTGGGGAGGTGTGGACGTCAGTAGAGGCGGTCAGCAGCTTATCGCGCAGATTCTCAAGCGTAGTCGCAAGGAGCAAGTCTACCACCTTCGCCATTGCCGCTTTTCTATCGGTATTTACTTAGTAAGTATTATTTTGACATACCGTACATCACAAAATAAATGCTTAACAGAAAAACAGCAGTTCGGCGTTTTTCGCGTGCTTTTATTTAATTGGAAGATTTTCTTAACACTATTTGACATCTTCGATACAAAACTTTATTTTTGCAGAGGTGCAACTTATTACAACTAAGGGTGTTTTGTGCATTGCACTAAAGGTTTCGTGCAGTTTTGTGCAGTCGCATTTAACATTTTACTACGTAAATAGCCATACTAACAAGACATCGTTAATGGAAGTCCTGATCTACTCGAAGTTTCATACAAGGCCCTTTGAAGCAGAAAAAAATCTAGGTAGCTTGGAGCCGCGAGCTCGCACCATCAGGGCTTCAACATGCACTTATCGTGTGAGTTTTGTATTTGGTCACAAAATATGGTCTAAATTAAGTTTTTAGGTTTACAAATTTGACCACACTGGGACCAATGCACGAAACAGCCTTACTAATAACCACCTAAGACTTTGCCAAGTAACTCTCTTGTCTTTATGAAGAAGGTTTTTCTCCAGAGCAACTCGAACAAGCCGTGGTTGAGAGTGCAAGAGGTGCGATCACAAATAAACCGTGCTCAAGCTCAAATCCGAATTGTGATCTACATGCAAACCGATCTCTCAAGAAACGTATTCTAAGCTGGAAAGTGAAACACTCGATCCCTCCTTGTGGAGAGTACAACGTTGATCGTGTTCAAGGAATTCGGTGGATTGAGGGAGCTGTGTCAGCTACAAAATGAAAGTCCTAAGGCGGAGTACACGTTCAAAAGACTTGTTCAAACTCGCGTACTCCAGTATTTCAAGAGCACATTGCCCGACTTAAGGGCAACGATGTGTATAGCCCTCTGCTTTAAAACCAACACGTGGAAGATTTAAGCTGAAAGAAAACGTGCTATATCAATATACCAATTCATTTTACTGCGTTTAAGAAGTATGTAGTCGCTCACATGTTGATTATTGACCAATGATAGTTATCTTTTCTACCAAATCTTAGCACAAAAAACAGTTTCACAAAAAAACGGATGTTTTAACGATAAGACGACAGCAGTTCGGAATTATTAATATTGTGCTTTGCACATGTTTTGGCAAAAGAGGGGTATATTTCTTAGTTATAAAAA